ATTTATCTACTTATCAGTTGAATCACATTTGGATTGTTTTTGCTTTTTCAGCTATTAGGAACAATGTTGCTGTGAACATTCATGTACAGATTTTTGTATGGACATGTTTTCAATTTTGTTGGATATACCGAGGAGTGGAATTGCCGGGTCATGTGGTAACTTTTGTTTGATTTTTTTTGAGAAGCTGCTAAGCCATTTTTCCAAAGTGACTGTACCATTTTACACTTTTTAATTTTTTTTAATTTTTGTTATTTTTTAATGTTTATTTATTTTTGAGAGACAGAGACACAGAGCATGAGCAGGGAGGGCCAGAGAGAGAGGGAGACACAGAATCCCAAGCCGAGTCCAGGCTTTGAGCTGTCAGGACAGAGACCGATGAGAGGCTTGAACCCACGAACCTTGAGATCATGACCTGAACTGAAGTCAGACGCTTAACTGACTGAGCCACCCAGGTGCTCCACCATTTTACATTTCTACCAGCAATGTATGAAGTTTCCAATTCCTCCACATCCTCACCAACTCTTGTTATTGGCTGTCTTTTTTTATTCTTGTCATCCTAGTGGGTGTGAAGTAGTATCTCACTGCAGTTTTGATTGACATTTCTTTAATGACTAGCGGTGTTGAGTATATTTTCATGGGTTAACTGGTCATTTGTACATCTTCTTTGATGAAATATCTCTTCAAATCTTTGCCTTCCTATAACTGGAGTGTCCATTTGTTACAAATTGGGATACAAATCTTTATCAGATACATGATTTGCAAATATTCTTTTGGTAAGTTGTCTTTTCACTTTCCTGACGGTACCATTTGCAGCATAAAACTATTTATTTAGTGCTTTTGGTATTGCAGCTACAAAATCATTATCCAACCCAAGTTATGACGTTTTGCTCATATGTTTTCTTCTATGAGTTTTATAGTTTTAACTTTTACATACAGGCCTATAATCCATTTTGATTTAATTTTTGTGTATGGTATGAGGTAGGAGCCCAACTTTATTCTTTTGCATGTGGATATTCAGTGTCCTAGTACCACTTGTGGAAAAGACTATTATTTCCCCCATTGAATTGGTGTCAAGGAAATCACAATTTAATGAGGAGACATTCATTTATTTAAGAAATATTTGCTGTGTCCCAGCCACAATGTTAAGTATCGGATTTAGGGTAATGAATAAACAAATATGACTCCGGCCTATTTGAGGATTACAATCTAATTAGACAGGGAGCTATAAATGTAATATTATATGAGCTAGACTGTTAAACATGATATAATAGATTTATAATCATTAATAATTTTAGCAATCATTTCTAGAGCACCAATTACATGCCAGGCACTATCATTAGTAGTTTATTTCTTTATTTTTAAAGAAATTTAAAATAAGTGGGGGAGGGGCAGAGAGAGGGGGACCAAAGATTCAAAGTGGTCTCTGCACTGACAGGCCGACAGCAGTGGGCCCCATGTGGGACTCAAACTCACAAACCCTGAGACCGTGACCTGATGAAATTGGATGCTCAACCGACTGAGCCATCCGGGTGCCCCATTAGTACTTTATGTGTAGTAATTTATTCAACCTTCCCGACACTCCAAGAAATAGGTATTATTATTATCCCTATTTTACAATTGAAGGACTGAGGCCCAGAGACACTTATTAATTTTTTTAAAGACCACCCAGATAATAAGTTGTGAAGTCAGCGTTTGAACCCAGTTCATCTGGCTCCGAAGCCTGTGCTCTGAATAGACAAAATGCTTGGAAGACCTGGAAAAAAACTATGACTGGTTTTTATAAGTACTGTGAAGATCCTGAGCTGAGCTGTGCTTAAAGGGAATAGTAGAATTTCAAATAACAGTTGCGTGAGCTTCAAGAGTATTCCAAACACAGGGATAAGCAGTAGCAGAGGTTAAGGAGAAAGTGCAGAATGTGTTTTGATCATAAGGGAGCCTGTAGTGGTCCTGGGTGGGGAAGGGTAGAGTGGGAAAATACTTGACATTTCAAAAGCTGAAAAAGAGGTTGGGACCAGGTTGTAAAGGCATCTGAGTACTCTACTCTGAGAGTCTGAACTTTACCAATGAATCCATAAATATTTGATGTTTGGAAGTCACAGGAAAAAAAGAAATGTCTAGAGAAATAAAAGCTCCTATTAGAGCTGGTATGAAATGGAAGGAGAGAGTATTTCACACTTACTTTGGTTTCTACAAACAGCTTTTATCGTGAATGTGGCTCAACTTGGAGTTTGGAGTCGGGGCTAGGACTGTCAGAGCTTAAACCCTGATACTTCATCATAGCCTGTCCCTATTTTTACCTTAAAATTGAACTCAATGTAGTAATCTTAATTAGGAGTAAAAAGAAATGAGGGCATTTAAATTTTATTTGGAAAAATAGGCTTAAAAATCACACATAGGTGATAATTGCATAAAATAAAGACACTGGCATAATATAATTAGTAATGTTTTACATATATGATTTTAAATGAATTTTTTTAATGTAAATGTTTTTATGTTTTGAGAGAGAGAGAGAGAGAGAGAGAAGGAAAGTGAGCCAGCAGGGAGGGACACAGAGAGAGGCACAGAATCCAAACCAGCCTCCAGACTCTGAGCTGTCAGCACAGAGCCCAACATGGGGTTCAAACCCATGAACTGTGAGATCATGACCTGAGCTGAAGTTGGATGCTGTACTGAGCCACCCAGTCACCCTGGGAATGCATACAATTTCTTAAGCAGATTGTTGCATATCAGTGATAGAAATATTTTACTCTTTTCCTTACACATCTACTTTAAATAAATTTTAGAAGGAAAAAAAAACACTGGTATTTTTTTTTTTTAACAGACCACAGACACTGGTATCCTCCAAAGTTCAGAAAGATAACTCGCTTTGGAGGCTGAAAGCCTGGATTTTCTTCTCAGAGTCACTGCTTCCTGGCTGTGTGAGTCAGTCATCAGATGGGCCAAATAACCTGACCATCTGTAAGTGAGGATAATAATTACTTTATGAGGTTGTGAGAGTGGGAGGGACTTTACTGGACATCTATGTTTGTATCATGAACCCAAATCCGTCCAGCCTCCAAAGACTGAAAGATATGTGTTTAGTAAACCAAACTAAAACAGTTAAAAGTATCATTTTCCCCTTTTAACTCTGAAGTGAATTCATTTTCACAGCCCTAATCCTATTCTCCACAATTCCTCATCTTTTCAAGGTGACTTGAGTGACCTGTCCTTGTTTACATGCTTTTAGAGGAAGGAAATTAATACTTGAGTGTGTACTGTGTGCCAGACTTTAATCTAAGCCCCTGTACGTATTTATAACAGCCAGTTCTCCTAACAAGCCCGTGAGGTAGGAGTGATTTTCCAGAAGAAGAAACTGAGGCTAAGAGAGGACCTCGTAAATGGAAAAGCCCACTACAAAGTCTAGGCCTAACTGTAAAGCCCTTGTTCTTTTTGCTCGTGTGCCAGGCTGCCCTTTAAATGTGCCAAAAGGAGGATATTATTCTTTTAATAAAAGTAAGTGGCATTTAATTTGATCCTTAAGAATTATTTTGGAAATGCTGCGAGAGCACTGGGGATAATTGGAGACATCCTTGGGTGGCACAAAACCACGGCTGCGGACCATTACCTAAGTCCAGAGTATGAGTGTAACTGCAGCTCGGCTGTGCTTTCTATCTGGCCATACAGACTCCAGTTTCCTGGAGCCGGCTCCCCTTTGGATTTCAGCTTTCTGGCTCCTGACGTGGGTTTGTGGTTTCCAACTGCCTGTAATTTAAACAGAAATGGACAACCAACAGAGGGTGGCTGGAGGGGTTGGGGCGGGGGGATGGGCTAAATGGGTGAGGGGTGTTAAGGACTGTACTCCTGAAATCATTGTTGCACTAGATGCTAACTAACTTGGATGTAAATTAAAAAATAAATAATTTAAAAATGCAATATAAACAGAAAGGACTAGAAGGCCTTAGTAGATTGGAAAAAGGAGTGAAGGCAGGTATCCTGCAGTTTAAAAGTTTGACCAGCAGGTGTCTCTGCAGACAAGGGAGAGGGCTCCTTTTTGCCTTAGAGGGCAGGATGGAGTTTAACTGAGGAAAGTTGTGGTGGAAATGAGGCAAACAAAGGTAGGTCGGCTAGGTACAGAAGTCCCAATTGCATAAATTTGTCTTAGCCAACAGCTGGAGAGGCTGGTAGAAAATCTAAGCAAACCCCAATCTTAATGTAAGGAAGTGGCTGTAAAGGCAGTCTCTGTACTGTCTTCCAAACATGCAAGGCTGTTTGAAGGTGAGCACTTAAACCAAGAGGCAATTCCCAAGGCAGGTGAGGCAGGGAAGATGGCTCTTTAGTCAGGAGAGATGTGAAGACGAAGGAGATACGGGAAAGATGTTTCTGTAGGTTTATAGCCAGCGGGATAAAGAACTTGTGTTGGAGGTACACCTTTGAAGTGCACCTTTATTTTCTGTGAGGTGTTGTGAATTCCCAGAATTTTAGGTACACTTCTATCTAAAGGAAAGCAAAGGATCCAAACGTGCCAAAATTTTAATTCATATTTGTTCAGTACCCTCTTTTCATTTAGGAGCAAGAAGCCAATTATAAGAAAAATCTTTAATTGGTATAAACATTAAGGAGTGAATCACAGGGTAACTAAGTGTATCTTTCCCTAAGGAGCATATTTGTTAGTGAAAAAAGTTGTTCTGGACAGATTTTCTTTTGTAGCAAGTGTATTTTTCCAAGTAAAACCGAAGGTGTATCTCTCCGAGGAAAACACTAATCCTAAAAGATGATACAGTCACATCTAAGAGTGCAGAAAACCTTTAAAAAAATCCTTAAAGATCTTTTGGATAATCTCAAGGGCAATTAATAATAATCTAAAAATGCTTAAACCATATCCTAGAACATATGGAAAGTAGTAAGGATACTTTTTTAAGTTTTGTGTCATAGCTTGAATGGCTCTGTTAAGAAGAACAGCGTGGGCAAGCTGAACAGAAAATCCTTGACTGAAAGCTTACTTACCTTCTCCTAAGGCCCCTCCCAGGATGTTTTACAGGAGACTATGTACTTACTTTGACTACCTAGACATGCTTCTGGACACCCAGGAGGAGCATTTGGACATGACTAGCAACAGACTCCTAGTGAGGTGGTAATGCAGGACACAGTCCTTGTGAAGAGAAGGCGCACATTCACCTCATCCCAAGAGCCAGGGCACACTGAGTGTTTGGACAGTGTGATCAAACAGTGGCCTGATTTCTACGTGATGGCAGAATTTATAACCTGCTAATAATTCCCTGGTGTGGGAATACGGGGTATGTAAATATGATATTGCCTTTTGATATACAAAATTTCTTTTTTTTTTTTAAGTTACTCGTAATGAATTTTATGAATTTTTTAAAAGTTTGTTTATTTTTGGGAGAGAGAGAGCAAATGCTCAAGTGGGGGAGGGACAGAGAGAGAGTGAGAAAGAGAGAGAGAGGGAGGGAGACAGAGAATCTGAATCAGGCTCCAGGCTCTGAGCTGGCAGCAAGCACAGAGCCCTAAGTGAGGCTCCAACTCAAGGACTGCGAGATCATGACCTGAGCCGAAGCTGGATGCTTAACTGAGTGAGCCACCCTGGCGTCCCAATATATGAAATTTCTGAATAATGCCTCTGTGTCAATTGAATGCTCATATAATGTTGGCTTTTTTTTTTCTTTCAGAGCAGTAATAAGTTGGGCCAATGTAAAGTGAGGGTTGGACTTTCTCCAAGGCCCGGATGGCTCTGAGAGTCTATGGAGGTATGTTGTGAGGCTACAGTCTTCTTTCAGGTCGCTGGTAAACTGCCCTGCAGACAGGCTAAGAGAGGCTTTAAAATCATAAAAGAGTTAATGTATTACCTCTTACTGCTTATACCACTTTCTGGTCAGACCTTAGGTCCTCAGAACTTCCACATCATTTCCAGAAGTGTCTAAGGGCCTATCGTCTCCATCAGGAATGCCTTGGTTTGCCCTTTTCAAATTCTAGAAATAAGACACAGTGACATTAGGTAGGAAGATGTCTCATTTTCATCTCTTCATCAATCTTCTGCTTTTCTAGAAAAGATGGTGGAGTCGGTTATAGAGGCTGACTGGGAGTTGGGTGGGGGCTAGGGCTCTGCCTCTATGCTGGGCTGCAGGGGCTCTGAGAATCCAGCCCCCAAGCCATTCCTCTGGGTGGGCGGCAGGGTGGGAACACACCAACACCTGTTTATTCTAAAGTCAGCAGAAGCACATAGTTAAGTCCTGAGTGTCTTTGTGCAGCTACTTACAAGCGAGGCTTCCTGGGTACTTCAGTCAGTTGCGTGGTGTACGTCTGTTGATATCCTTTGGGGCCAGCTCTGTCCTGCTCTCAAGAACTCCTGAAGTCTTCTTCCTCCCTGGGTCTCAGCTGAGCTCAGTCGTAGCTGGAGAAACCATTTTTCCTACTGGCTCCTACCTTGACAGGGCTTGTAATCCAGTTGGGGAAGATCTCAGGCTCCAAAGGTACGCTGCCTGGGAGTCAATTCTACTTCTATGATGACAGCCAATTCCCTTAATCTTGCACTGCCTCATTTCCCCTATTTGCAAAATGGGGATAATAATATAATCTGTCTCATAAGGTTGTTGTGGGTTAGGTGAGTTCACTTACAGTAGACTACTTAGCGCAGTGTCTGACACATTGTTATTATTGACTGTGACTTCCTCCCGAAACCTACCTGGGTCTTAGCACTCAGCAAATCCTTATCAACTGCATACGTCTAAACAGTTTTCCTTGTTTCCTGTTGGTTTTTGTTGTTCAGTGCCCTCCCCAATTTTCTGTGTTGTTCTCACCAAAGGGGGTTCTTCAGGGAGCTTTGTAGCCAGGCTTTGTCCAAGTCTCAACAGGACACACACCATCTACTGGCCTCCATCCATACAGGCAAGGAGCGTAAATGATCTAACACACAGCATGCACATTCTGGTCATTATTAGGGACAGGCACGATCTGCCTTTTGTCTTTGGAAATTAGACCCATGCTCCATTTGCTAGTTTTTCCTCAGAGACTTTTGGTTTTTGACACCCTCCAGAGAGCACCAGAAGTTGTGGTACTTGATGTTTCAGTGATGTCTATGAGTGGAGGAGAGGCAGTAAGGACACTGGTGAGCATGGTTTTGGTGTAAGAGATTCTTTCTCCCTTGCCTTACCTGCCTGCTCAGGTTTCTGTTAGGACCTCCCCTCCCCAGGGAGATGGTAAAACTGTGACTCTGGGGCCCAGCATTGAAGATAATGTGTTTAGCCCCTGCTAGAGGCAGGTGAGTGAGGCCCTGAAGAGGTAAGAGAGGCTGGCCACACCCCATCGTTTAGCTGGGATTGAATGAGCTCAACCCAGGAAAGGGCTTAACCAAGGCAAGAAGCTGAGGACCACTCCATCCTTATCCTTATGTACTAGTCAAGGAGCCAATTACTGTTAATGGCGTTGGCAATTTGAAACCAGAGAACTGATGGAAGACCCCTGTGGGAGGACCCCTCTGTCCCATCCCAGCCAGCCATGACTCACAGATGGGCAGCCATAGCTCTAGTAAACATCTTCTGGCCAGAGAGAGCAAATATGGGCCCTTCTTCTCTCACATTCAGGGTGCCCTGGGTGTCCGTGTTTCCTGTTGTACATGCAGTGACCTGACGACACAGTTCTGCCTAGAGAGAAATAGAAGTGACTAAATCAGCACCGCTCTGAAATAACACCCTTTGATGCTGGAGTGTTCACAGTCTTGTCTCCCCCCACCCCCTCCAAGCCTGCCAAAGACCATCTTGTTATCCATAGCCCAGAAGCCTAACCCTTCCATTCCCACCTGAAGCAGGTAAGTTAATCTCCTTAATAAAAGCAGTGGGTCTAAGAAGGAAGGGAAACCTGGGGACGACTGAGGGGCCCTTGGAGGATGTGGAATGCCAGATAGCAGAGGGAGGAAGAAAAAGAACATGAGATATTGTTGGAATTATAAATTTGATCACGTTTGATGTCCTTGGAGAGTCTCTGCAAGGATGGAATTTTTATTTTATTATTTACTTATTTATTTTGCCTAACAGGCGGTTTTGTCTTTAACCATGACGCGGCTCACTGGCCACCGTGCGCCTCTGCTCCATCGGGGTTATACAAGTGTCAGAAATAGGACGCAGGCATCGGGACAGTCATCTCGCTATAGAATTGTTCAGAGACGGGGTGGGAGGAAGGAAAATGACGTAGCTTCTCTGGCCCTCACCCACCCAGTGACTGGAATGCATGTTTGGGCCGGTTTCTCCACCCTTGAAAACACAAATCCCAGTTTCTCCCTTCCCCTCAACTGGGCGACAATTAGGGAGGTGGGTTTTGTTGGAAGAAGGAATTTTACTGAAGAATTCCCCTGCCTCGCTCCCAGCTCGGTTACAGCTCCTTCAGTGCTGTAGCTATTCCTGCCTTTGTGGCCTCAAGGGCTAAAGTGGGACAAGGCCGGTATTTTTGGTGATGAGGAAATATTTTGTTTTAAAGGGAGGCTGGGTGGCTGCTGAACTGGGACAGAGGTCAGAGCAGGGGTCAGGTTAGCCGTTCCAGGGGCGACCGGGGGCCTGGCGTCGGGCCGGGGCTCCCAAGAGCGCTGCTGCCGCGGCTAGGAACCGGCGGGCACACTCGCGGTGCCCACCGCCTCATCCCCAGAGGAGGGCACCCGGGAGCCGGCGCCAGAGGACCGGGGCCCACGCGGGAAGGTCGAGCTCGCCGGTGAGGTCACGGTTGCCATGGCTGCGGGCAGTGACGCGCGTCGGCACGTGACGCGCGGTTGCCATGGCACCGGGCCCCGGCGGCCCGGGCGCCCCGCCTCCCGGAGTGACGTCCGCCAGGCCCCCCCTCTTTTTCCCGCCCCCCGCCCCCCCCTCCCGCCGGCTCCCCGCGGGCCCGGGAGGTTTCACTGCACAACAAGATGGCGGCGGCGGCGGCGAGCGGAGCTGGCGGGGCTGCCGGGGCCGGAGCGGGGGGACCCGGGCCGGCGGGCCGCCTGCTGCCTCCGCCCGCCCCGGGGCCCCCGGCCGCCCCAGCTGCCGTGCCTCCGGCAGCTGGCCCGCCGCGTCCCCCAGCCCCGGCCTCCCGCGGGACGGTGCCTGCCCGCATCGGCTACTACGAGATCGACCGCACCATCGGCAAGGGCAACTTCGCTGTGGTCAAGCGGGCCACGCACCTCGTCACCAAGGCCAAGGTACTGGCGCGGCGGGAGCTGGCGGCTGCGGGGCTGCGCGGCCCGGGACCGTCGGTCGGAGAGTGGCGGGGGCAGGAGCGCCCCGCGACTGGGAGGCTGAGGGGTCGGCGCGGCGAGCGGGGCTCGGGGTGGTGGGGAGCGTTGGGGATCAGGGAGACGGCCCCGGAGGGGAGTGAGGAGGCGGCAAGCCGAGAGAGGGAAACTCCGCGGCCGAGGGGGTCGTGGGGGGTGGGGGCCCTAGAGCGCGGAGACCCTGGGGACTGAGCAGCCGGGGGAGGGGAGGGGTTGCCCAGGGCTCTGCGGAGGGTAGTGGAAGGGGTGATTGGAAAGAAGAGGTTTGGAACTCTCACGGAGCTGGAACCAGCAATTAGGAAATCCCGAGGGAATGAGGGCAGAGGGGATAGGGAATGTGGACAGCAGGATGGGGGGCAGACGAGGGTCCACTGGCAGCCGGGGGAGTTAGGAGGGGAACAAGGACATGGACTAGGGGTGTGTGGTGGGTGCAGGGCACTGGGAGATATGAGGGACCTGGGACCTTATGACAGATGCCAATCAGCGTTGATCGTCTAAGACTGATGGACGCTAGCAATGGGAGCGCCAGGACAGACCACATTATTGGAGGAGGCGATGAAGAAAATGGGGAAATAGGAAAAAAATTACTTTCTCCGCAGGAAGGAGGCTCAGGGAACAGAGGCCCAGGGCGCCCCGGGTTCATGGTGGCACTAGGTAATCAGGGGTTAAACAATTTGGGAGTGCTGGTTTGCTGGTTATTTTTAGCTGCTGGAGGGTCTGGATTCATGGGCTTTGTAGAGCCCAGGGTGGGCTCTCAGTGGTTGGGGGTGGGGGGGAAAGCCTGGTGGGCAAATGAGGAGATGTATGAGAAACCCAGACACTGGAGAATTACACTCATTGGGCCCTTTGGTTCTCAAGGGATTTGTGGAGCTGTAGTAGTGAAATTGGCCAAGGTCAATTAGGAAGCCATATAAGTATACATACAACAGTTTAGCATAGAAGATTCATTTGTTTTTGTTTTTTTGTTTTGAGGAAACGGGTAGCACTTTCTTGTAGCCTTCTTCATTGGAAGTATTGGAATCGGAGTCATCAGGAGTCGTCTTTTGGTTTTGATAGGACCCACAAAGCCCATTTGTACTTCAAATTTCTTGCTTTGCTCAGTCTCTCCCTTGAATGAATACTTGCAGTGTAGTCATTCATTATACTTAAAACTGCACTTTGTGTTTCCCCTCAACCCGGCGAATGAAGAACCCTTAACAGCTGCTGTTGCTTCCTACCAAAGCCACATCAGTTCCTCACCTCCTCAGCCTAGCCTCCACTTATCATCACCTACCTGTTTTTGCTTTTATGGCAATTGCTTGTTTTCAGAAGCCAGCAACTCATCTAGGCCTTCTCTCCTGCTTACAACATGAAGTTCCTTTTTCCCTCCTTTCTGTCAAAGCCTACAAGGGGCCTTTTTTTTTTTTTTTTTTTTAAACCAGGGTGGCAGGATAGGTGGCTGTGGAAAATTGATTGGTCAGTTTCACTTCCTCTGGGGGGCCCCCTTCAGCCTTTTTGTCAGTTTTTATCAGAGGGCCTCAAGTCTGCAGTTCTGAGCTGAATGAGATACCAAAGTCCAGGGTTCTCTGATGTCCCCCTCAGACCCGGAGAGGGACTAGACTCAGCCAAGCTTGGGTGCTTCTCTGTCCCCCCCCACCAGGCGTTTGCAGTTCTGTGTACTGTTGGCTAAGCCAAAGTTATATTTATAAACAACAGTGGTTCCAGAGCTTTGTTCCTTGTTTCAGGATTTCCTTTTTTTATTATTATTAATTTTTTTTTTTTTTTTTTTTTTTTTTTTTTTTTTTTTTTTTTTTTTTTTTTTATTTTTTTTTTTTTTTTTTTTTTTTTTTTACCTTTCCCTTCTCTTCTCAGTAATCACATCAAGCTCCTGTGATTATTTTGATCTGACCTCTAGGGGATGGACTCCATGAATTTAATTGGTTGCCTGGTTTATGGTATCTATGATTTAAAGAGTTTTGTGTCCTCTAGCCCTTGGATACACCAAAATATTGATGAAATAGTCTGCGACAGACAGAGTTGTATGTTTTTGTAAATATAATTGCAAACAGTTGATTCTTGGCTTTATGTATAAAAGAGACGTTTCTATCTTCAGTAGTCAGCAAAGCCAGTGGCTAATTATGGCTGATCTGCTCGCTTTCTAATTTTCCTGTGTGTGTGTGTGTGTGTGTGTGTTTTTCTTGGTTTTTCTCTGAAGCCTTGGTATCCTTTAGGACTGCAGCATATTAAACATTAGCTTGTTTATAAATGCGTGTCACTGTTTATGTTGGTTTTTATCTTTGATCATTTGTGGTATGCAGTTATGTAATTCCTATGTATGGAAATATTCGAAATCCTGAATGAGACTGAATTGGCTTGGACAATGAGTTGCATGTGTGAGGGGACCACACCAGCACTCATTTGTGTTTCTGTAGCAGTGTGCAATTTCCTAGTTACAGTTACAAGCGCCCTATCTTTTGCTGCTTAAATTACTCTGACGAAATGAGTGAAGCTTGATTCACAAGGAGTTGTCATGTGCTCTGGGTGAGCGATGAGCATATTTTGGCCTGCTCCCTGGTTATCTGAATCCACTTTGGAAGGGGTTCTTAAACACTGACAGCTTAGATGTGCCTAACAGCTGTTGACATACAGTGTGATGGCCTAGTAAGGCCATGGTTTGGTCATATAATGGCGCGGAAGGTGCCTCGGTACTGGTAAATGCAGGACCTGCACTTCCAGTTACTCAGGGAGATAGAGTTTTCTCCCCGTGCACTGCAGCGTGCAGCGTGCAGCGTTTCTCTTCTGCAGTAAGGTCACTTGGAACCAAAGAGAGCTGATTTTTTTTTTCCATTTCTTTCCAGAGTCTATAATTTTTTGTTTCATCTTTTAGAGGTGCATGATTTTTTTTTTTTTTTTTTCTTTTTCCTCTTCACCCTCTAGGCCACTGAACGGTCTGGGTTTTACTTAAAAGTGGCTCAAACAATCAGACTCTGATAATTCAGAAGGTGTCTGTGTTGGTTGAAGGAGGGTAGGTAACAGGTGCTTTCTGAACATCAGGGAAGTATTTATGATCTACTTTTTCTTCCACACACTGCCCATTCCAAGGACTAAGAGGCTAAAGTAAACTTCATTTATTGACCAAGCTGCCCTCTGTGCAACAGTAAGTGGTAAAGCTGGCTCTTTCCCAGATTCTGTTAACTCTCAAACCTCCTGGAGTAGGACCCTGGGCTGAAAAAAATCAGTAAGAGGAGTTGTTTTCCTGTTAGGTTGTGGGTGACTTATGCAGCCCAGCAGTCGTGAGCTCAGACCGAGTACGGGCAGCACTGCGGTGCTTGGGGCAGCACTGCGGTACGGTTACCTGGAGAGAATGTTCATCTGTGACATACTTTGGTCAGCAGCTCACCCTGGCTGTCTTGTCCTATCTTCTTTTTTATTTTCTTTTGGATAAAGAAACTTTTTTTTTTTCTTTTGGAGAAGTCTCAGCGTGAGATTCTCTGGCTCTGTTCTTTTTGGTAGGACCCTGTAAATTATTCAAGATATTTAAGAAAGATTTTCTGCTTCCAGTGTGCTTATAGTCTGTTGCCTGTGCCTAATTATGCCTTCACTGGTGGGATGAGTGGGGACAAAGAGTAGATCTGTGTGGTGTACATTTTAAAAATCTATACATGATTATAAAAGCCATCGGCCAAAGACTTATAAAGTGTCATTTTAGCAAATATGCAACACTTGCTTGTTACTGGTTTGTGGTTAAGAGGTTGGGTTTTGGATAAGGCTGCCTGGGTTTGGATCCCCTTCTGCTTAATGGCTGGATGATCTCGGGTACATTGTTTAACCTCTCTCTGCTTGGATTTGCTCATCTGTAAAAATGAGAGGCGGCAGCACACACCTCACAGCTTTGGGGGTTGTGAAGATTAAACAAGGTAATACATGGGATGCTCTTGGAACATGCCTGGCACATAGTAGGCATATGGTAACTATCGTCAGTAACTGGTGTAGTAACAGAGATGAGTGGGGCATAGCCCCTCTTCTTTTGCCTTTCATCCATTTGGAACAGTTTATGAATGCATATGCCGTTTGTGCAGGTAGATGTCACCTTCGTGATATGCTTTCTGGGTAAAAAAAAAAAGTAGGTTGCTCTTATTTCAGATGCCACTTTGCAATATTTGGGCTCAGCTCCTGTGGACTGTGAGCTAATTTCATGAGACTGACATTTTAAAACAATTTTCCATTAGTTTCCATTTTTAAAAAATCTAATCTCTTTGCCCAGTGTGGGGCTTGAACTCACAACCCCGAGATCAAGAGTTGCATACTCTACTACCTGAGTCAGCCAAGCACCCCTCAACTTTTTTCTTTTAAAGCAGTTGTGAGCCTTATCTTCTGAAAACTGACGCTGGCTTTTGCTTTGGGCTGCCTCGAATTTTCGGTGTGTTTGTGTAATGACTCCTGGTTACATTAGTAATGGAACAGAGTTTATTTGAGTATACTTTCCCCTGAGAGGTTCACTTAAATTTGGTGGAGA